CTAAAAATAGAAAATCTTGTGTAACCATGGTGGAAATAGCAATTTTTCATGGTGGAAATAGTAGATCCCTAATTTTATTTGCAAATTTTATTTTGAAACTTTTTTAAAAAACAAGTATTCTATTCTAAATAGCGATGTGATATTTTACAGAGCCTAAATACAAAATTAAAATTCTTTAACCTATATTCCTATCTTATTTCATTAGTGATATGCTGACATTGTTGGTAATGCTCCAACAGAATTCAATTATTTAATAAATTAATTCATGATCCGCCTAAGAACCAGTGACAAAACATAGTAAACAGTGGAGGTATTTACTATAAATTTTTTGTTGTCTTTGGAATCTGGAGTTTCCCAAAGGAAAACTTTTCTTTACTAAGCAAACTTCTCTTCGACTTATAAGTAAACTTGTAGAAGAGTGTCTTGCGATCAAAATGGTGGTTTAAATGTTAAATTCGACCCAGTGGATCGCTAGATATATGTACTTTGGTCTTCACGACTATATGTTTTCTTCTAAAGAAGAGAACATATAGTCGCGAAGGCTAAAGTACTTATATCTCGCGATCCACTGGGCCGATTTTAACGTTTAAACCACCATTTTGATCGCAAGACAATCCTCTACAAGTTTACTTAGAAGTCAAAGAGAGGATTTCTTAGTAAAGAAAAGGTTTTCCTTTGGGAAACCCCAGATTCCAAAGACAATAAAAAATATATAGTAAACATATCTCCACTGTTTACTATGTTTTGTACTGGTTCTTAGGCGAATCACGAATTAGCTAAAAAGCTACGGCTTTAATTTTATCCATTTTAACAATACTATCATCATGACAGGATCGATGTTCGTGATGATGTATCTTTCGAAAATAACTTGCTTCTTTTAATCGGATAAATTTTGATGAAACTATCGAGGCTTTTGGTATTTCCTAAAAGATAACTAATTTGAAGTCTTCTTTAGTGTTGATATTCACATATAAACTTCATTTTGTTTGTTTGAAGTAGGCTAGTAAATTAGTCAAATTTTTATTTTTAAAATTTTTTTTTAAGATATAAATAAAGATGTAAAACTAAATAAGAATCGCAAAAATTACATTATAATCTTCTTTTATAATATAAGAGCGTATTGTGTGCCGTCCACCCACATAAATTCATTACACTTGGGCCTTTAACACGAATATAGTGGTGATATGTTCTTGATTTAAGAACGATTACATCGCGCAGCGAACCTAATTATCAATAGGTTTTATATTTCTGTTCCATACATTTTTAAAATTTTATTGGCCAAGGATATCAATGAAGATATGTTAAAAATTTTATATTCATGTTGATAGTGATATTAATGAGGGAGCAAGTCCGAAATATGTGACAAACTATGCTAATTGATCAACATCGCCAATATTAAATCGATTTTAATTGTTAGGGTTAAATTGGAAGGAGTTAGAAAGGGATTCTCGATTTAAGCAATATTAAATCGATTTTAATTGTTAGGGTTAAATAGGAAGGAGTTAGAAAGGGATTCTCGATTTAGGCAAAACTTAAATCAAAATTATGAGTAGAATTTTTTTTCTTAGAGCACCAAGAGAAAAATTTTTTCTTAAGCTTGGACCCGAACAATGTGATGTATTTTTAAGCCCGGGTTTAAATTCGAGTTACCTGGGTTTTTTTGATCGTTTGAGAGTGTTAGTAGCCATCATGTAAATTTGCTATTTTTGTTTAATTTTATGTGGACGATATTAGCATCCACCCTCTATTTCATAATAATTTTTGTTTTTTTACTAAAATTTAGGGTTATGGTGCAATTTAATACCAAAATAGGATTGGATTAAAGGCCTGCAAATTATCTGTGGTACGGCCCGCTTTTAATTTTAAAAATTTTTTTCCGAACTTGACCTGGCTAACTTTAACTATTGCTATTTTTCCAATTCCTGGAACACCTGGGATCTTTGCTAGAAAAATAGGGTTCCGAGGTCCCACTAATCAAAAATAAAATTTTACTTGTACATTAATCTTCTATATAAGAATTTTACATCATGTAAATTTTATACCATCTAATCTTAGTGCAAAAGCGAATTATTTGATTTTGGACTTTCTTTAATATAAATCTAAAAATAGAATCGGAAGTAATCTTCATGAATTTTAATATAATGAAATTTATTTGTAATGATATTAAAATAATTTATATAAAATCATATAAACTGCTTCTACTTTAGACTCAAAAGGAGTTACATCGAATCATCCACACCCGCTTATTCACTGTTATATATCATACTACAGTAATCTTAACTGGGCAACGAAGGCGCTCATGTGTGCAATCTCTAGCTAGATATTATAATCACACCCTATGTGTACCAGTTTGTGACGCAGATATCCTGAACTACAAATCAGATTTCAAATTAAGTGTAACGTAACGTAACACAATCAGGCAAGTCCGGTGTGACAGGTTGATGGACAAAACCAATAATTAATGAGATTATCATGTAATTAGTGTTCCAGTAAAATGGATAATTTTTGATGAAACTAAAGTGTAACGTGAAAATTGGTTATCGTTATCGCTATTCTTTACCTTTTACAAAAAAAAAAAAATCTCTTCAAATTTTACTCTTTACACCCTGACAAAAAAAAAAATCTTTGCGATATTTGGGTTAGGGGTCTTTTAACTGCTTCCTTATCTGAAACTAACTTAACCTGCTGTTGTCTATTAAATTACTTTATGATTTAATTTGAGGGTGGGCAATACATTATAATTTTCAAAAAATAAATCTTGGCATAGAAATTGCCGGATCGAAATATTCTTGTAAAGTCTTTCTTAAGACTTAATAAAAATTAAGAAACCTATTTCAAGATCAAGGTAACCAGAAGTTGAACACAGTCTTCCTCCTCTATAATCACCTTCTCCATAATCAAGTTATAATATATAATCACATTAAAATTGCAATACTTAATTGGTTAATAAATTTATAAATGCTTCTTATCTCAATTGGCAGAAAACTTGGTAAAAAGTTATGATTAAGCTTTTGTTTAATGATTAGTGTAATTTTCTATTGTGTCGAAATACTGTATATAAATTGTATATAATGATTGCACATATGGCTGCCGTCACTACCCAGTTAAAATTACTGTAGTATTGCATGAGCAAGTAATATAATAAACTACACTAGTAACTACCGTGTTGTAAATGATTCGATATAAACTATGCTTAGGTTTTTGAAACTATTTATTTTGTTTATTAATTCTTGAGTGGATGTAGAAGAGTTTATATGATCTACATGTCAGATATCTAATATGTGCGTACGTACGTACGTATCGAGTGATTTTAGGTAGCGTTCCACAAAAAATTGTTCATCCCCAGTAATTTTGACCAATCAAAATTTAAGATCAGGTGTCAAAACAAACGTGTTTT